TAAGGAAAAGTTTTCATGTCCCAAGTCAAATCAGCCAAATCAGTTCCAAATCCGTGAATCATTCAAGAACCAGATGTAGCCCTACTACTACCAAACACCCTCCACCCTTGCCTGGGGCTTCAGCTGCTTTTAAATCCTTTGTGGGGCATCCTAAGTGCAGGCCCAAGCCCAGAGGCTTGGGGTTTGGATTCCTCTGAGTTTTGCTCGCCCTCAGCTGTACAGCTGCAGGAGCAAGCTAGGGAGGAATCTCCCATTTCCCTAAAGTCTGTGTGTAGCTGAGATCTTCCCACTGCAAGTGAAAGGATTTTTGTTTTTTGTTTTGTATTTTTTTAAGTAAAATTGTTTTTGTTCCAAGTCAAATCAATTCCAAACCCATGAGTCATTCAAGAACCAAATGTGGCCCTAGTATTGGCAAACATCCTCCATTTCCGCCTGGGGCTTCAGATGTTTCCAAATCATTTGGCAGGCACCGCACGTGCAAACCCAAGCACAGAGGCTTGGAGTTCGGATGCCCCTGAGTTTCGCTCGCCCTCAGCCATACGGCCACAGGAGCAAGCTAGGGAGAAGTCTCCCATTGCCACAAAGTGGGTGTAAAACCAAGATCTTCCTATGGGCAATGTACATGGGAGGGTAACTATATGTTATCTCTGCAGGTACCACCCTATGCCAGAAAGGTCGTTATCCCCTGTCCCTGGGAAAACCACCATGGTGATGATCATGGTATTTCCTCTGCCAGGTGAACAGTTTTGTTTTGTTTTTTTTTAAAGAAATCTTTCGTGTCCCAAGCCAAATCAAGTCCAAATCTGTGAGTCAGTCCAGAACCGTAAGTGGCCCTACAACTGGCAAACATCCCTCACCCCCCACCAGGGGCTTCAGATATTTCCAAAGTCTTTTGGCAGGCATCCTAGGTGCAGGCCCAAGCCTGGAGGCTTGCGGTGTGGTTGCTCCTGAGTTTCGTCTGCCGTCCACCATAGGACCGCAGGAGCAAGCTAGGGAGGAGCCTCCCATTTCCATAAAGTGGGCTTTAAGCCCCAACACCTGGGCAGGTACGAAACCGCAGCAGAACAGCTACCTCCAGGACCGCGTAAGGAAAACCGCCTTCATGGACCCAGATACACGGTGTTTCCCCTGCCAGAGAAGAAAGCTAGTACAACCTCTACATCATACTAGTGTAAAACCCAGCCAGGTGGGAGGCTCTCTGCATTACTTCAGCCAAGCTCCTACCCCCCTGCCAGGCTCGTGGCTTTCCCCCGCCAGTGGGAAAACCACCGTGGTGCCCATAGTATTTCCCCTGCCAGCACAGCTGAGAGCTGGGTGCCAAACCCCGAGGGACAAGAGTGCCCGCAGGGCAAGAGGGAGGCCCGGCTCGGCTCGGCTTACCTGGGCCCGGCCAGCTCGGCTGGGCGCCACGTGACCGCAGGCTCCGCCCCACGTTGCGCTGCCGCCCGGCCCACGCGCGGCGCCGGGC